TTTTTTTTTTTTACAGAAACAGAAACTCTTTACACAATTTTATTTTATGAAATTACAGATGTCCAGCAGATACAGAACTTTATACACATTACTGTTGCAATTTTGGCGAATGCTGTATTCACCTAACTGGATTGTCTATGTAAGTTTTACTGATCAAAAGCTTTCATCAATTTATACTAGATGTGTTTTTTTTTTCTTTTACTTGTTATTACATATCTAATTTCTAAAACTTATACTGTGCAAAATACGAGGATTTTTCAACGATCAATATGCTGTTGTATTTTTAAATAATTTTGGCTACTAAAATGATTAGCGTTTTCAGTGGCTTCTTGTTGCTGTTTGTAAAACTGTAGAAACTGTTCTAACAGCCATCAATTTTTTTCATTCTAAGACCAATCCATATTGTACACGTATACTGAAGTGTGAATATATTTAGATTTTTGATTATCCTGTTGGTGGTGCTGATACTGCTGTGTTGTGGAGGTTGTATCGGTGGTTTTATATATACCCTCAAAAGAAACAAAAGCAGTCCAAGTGAACCATAGAAGAGAGAGGGAGAGAGAGAGAGAGATAGAGAGAAGGAGAGGGAAAGGGAGAGACACGGTGCCTCTCGCCTTTTATTTGTTGTGTCATTTTTGGTCGCCATTTATTCGCCTCAACAAACTGAATACTTAAAAAACAGTGTTCATAGAAATAATACTGAAACCTCTTTTTTTTTCTTTGTTTATCAAACCTGATGTATGTATTCTTAATCATTGTGTAAATTTTATAATTTTTTTTTGTTCAATAAATGCCTTAATTTTCACCAACAGCACGGATGAAAAGCATTATTATAGTTGATCAATATTTTAATGTCAGTAAAAATTTATTGTTGTCGTTTATACAAAAAAAACTCTGTAAAAAATCCTTCCTTTTGCTCCAACATCTACACTTCAATTTGTATCACCTAAAAAAATAACCAATAATCCTCAACTGCTTATCATTTCATCAAACTTTTTGTCTGTTTGTTAAATTTTTAAAGTTTTCTGAACACTAATAAACAACAACAAGAAAAAAAAAAAAGAGAGACATTTCTTTGGTTACTGCATAATCATTTACAATCAGAAACACTGAACTGATGTGTACTGTATTACAAAATTTTGAAGATTTTTTCAATTAAAACTAAACTTTTAAAGCTATTTTTGGTTTCTATTTGCTGTTTTTTGTATGCATCTGTTGATAAAATAATATCTAAAGTGCGAAACCGTTTTATAATGTGGACATCAAACTGGTAAGTCTTCAGACGATACGTCGACAAAATCCAAATCGACCTCTGGTTTATATGGGCCTTTCAAAGATTTCTGCAGCTCAGCAATTTTGATCTTAGATAACGGTTCTGCAGTATGAATAATTTCGATCATAAAAGCAGAAAAATAGATTTTTTTCAAACTATTAGACAGCTGACTTTTTTCTTGGTTCTAAAAATGGCAACAATATTTTTAAGATAAAATGTTAGTATTCTCTAAAAAAAAAAAAAATCTATGTCTGTGTTTGAAGAAGTTGAAAAGTAAAAGACCCAAGTTTTGAAAGGCTGAATTGTCTCGCAGTCCCAAAGCAATTGTGAATCTTGCGAATGCGTTCACTTGTGCAACTCCTGCTTCCAGTCCTCTGTTCATAGACATTTTTTGGGCAATCTAAAATGTCAGTAATGTTGAAGGAAAAATGTGAAAAGAACAGTAGATGCCTATTAAAAATGTTACCAAATATCTATACTAGTCGAAATGAAGCAAACACGAACAAGATAGACTTTTTCTGCAATCGATTTCGCTTTGCTAACTTGTCTACCCATGAAATGGATGTGATTTATGATATCAGCACCAACGGCATCAATAGAGACCGTAACTAGGATTACCCCGATAACGATAAAAACTAATAACATAATTAGCGGTATAGACGGACTAAAAACGTAGGCAGTTTTTAGGAGAACCAGAAATAACTGTGAATTACAGCCAACAGCAAAGAAGACAAAAGCAGACATATTTTATAATAAGTGAGTGATAAATAAACGCAGTTTAATTGTTGTAATCTTATCAGATATTTATAACAGTCTGTAATTAATGTGAAACTAAGCCTGTTTACATATTAATAAGTAGACAGGGCCTTGTTTAGGTAACTTATTATACTTTTATGATTTTTAAGAAATCAATTTTTTTTTTTTTGTACTGTAGCACAAATAAAAAGTCGTCTATAGAATATGCTGGTATTAGTTGCCATAAAATTTGTTCAAAGTTACTTTGCTAAATATGTTGACTACCGCGAATAAGTTTTGTTTCAGTTTTAAAATTTCTTTGATAAAATAAACCTGAAATCTCCGTAACCAATCATCAGAATTGTCATGATACAATAGTATAAGCTGTCAAAGAAATCCAACGTAGTTATGCAGCTAATCAGAATTCCACCGATTGTTGGATATACGAGAAAAGATGTAAAAACAATTGTTGGTGGTAACACTGACTAAACGTATACAAAAAATAAACAAAAGAAAAAACATTTTCTCCCTTGAGAAATAAAAATATATTTTTTTTAACCACAATATATATACATATAAAAATTCATTAGATACTGATCGAATATTTTGCTAAACTATAAACGCAAGAACTTAGCAGTGAAAAATAATTTTATGAATTCAATGTTTAAAAAGCAGTCTTTTCATAAGACTTTATTAGGAAAAGGTTAAGTCTTTAGTTGATGAATGCAAACTGTAACAGTGAAGCAAGTAAATTGTTTAATAAAGAAGTCTAACTTGATCTTTGATCTGTTTACATAGATAGTGGCATACAAATTTTCCAAGATCAGCTAGAGTTGCTACTGCGAGTGGAATACCAGTAACTGCAAAACCAATTAAAAACAAACGTCCAATTTTGGTAATTGGTGTAACAATTCCAAAACCTGAAATTTTATATTTGGCATAAAAAATAACAATCTGAAATACCTCGAGTTTTGCTAGCAAAATTAACTATGTATTTTAAATTTTTTTAATGCATATCTTCATGGCGTATTGTTTCTTTGACACTGTTTAAAACTTAAAAAAAGAGAAATTTTGATTACCAATTGGTATCACTGTAGTAGCAGTGAACAGGATTGACGATGATACAGTCCAGAGTTCTGGTGTTTCGTTAGCCTCAAATATGGTCATTGCAACTGGATATTCAAATATTTGAAATATTGAACTTTCGTATTTGTCCAAAGCTTTGGTAATGTTAATCGTGAACGTTGAAAAATCTATCCACAGAATAGTTTATAGTAGTCATTAAAAAAATACTCAAATCTGTTTTTAGCGTAAAGACTGAATAAACAAGCATGTTAAACATTCAGTAAAAGAAAATTCTAAAGTCAAAACAAAATCAGTGTTAAGACTGCTACTAATATCAAAAAAAAGAACCGCAGATTTTATAGAGCTATTGTATCATATCCTTATATTCTTGGCAGATTTCTAGAAATTCAGTGAACAGTAATTATTGCAACAAATGTAAAAAAAATAATATAACAGACCTTCATCAGAATCAATAAGAATTTTTGCTGTCTTCAACAACATTTCTCTGTGATCGCTAAGCTCCATCAACGCCTGTTCTCGCCTTAATATTTCTTCCGGTTTTTCAATGTGGTAAAATATAGCCGATCCAGCCACAATGTACAGGATGCACAGAAGCACTAAGCCAACGTGAAGTTTAAGCATATTGAAGTTCTAAAGTTGACCAGTTCATTCTTCTCTACTTTATCGTTGAGCACTGTATAGTAATAGGTGAACAAAGTGGCTAGTATTCTATAAAAATTTTAAAAAAAGGAAGTAAAAAAATAATACGTAAGGAATTTATTATGTTCTTACAGCTGGTAGGACGCCAAGTGAAACTCGCATGACGAAATAGACTGAAATATCAAAATCAGAGTTACAAGTGATTTTAATTGAATCTGTACTCAGTTGTTCTTTAACATCAGAGTAGTTTAAGCTGTAATCAGTAAACGGCTAGTCGAAGCTACAAATAAGGCAAACCTGAATAGAATAAATGTTTTTGTTTCTTGGAAGTTCAGCTAAAAATATAACCTTTTTTTAGCAGTGTGACAGGCAATCTATTATTAAAAGCAATTTGCAAAATAGCTTAACATTGTTTTTTTTTTTTTTGCAGCACAGTTATTTCCATCAAAACAGTCTCAAATATCAAGTGCGGAATGCTCAAAGTTGCTCACTAATTACGGCAAATATAACAAACATTAAGATTCTGAAAGGTGAGACAAGTTTGAAGAGAAACAATTTTTAGAATGCTTTGTTTGGTTTACTGCAAAAAAAAAAGAAAAAAAAGAAGAAGAAGCTATTATCCAATTTTTCTTGTTGAGAAGACAATATCTTTACCTTCTTATCTACTTCACATTAAAAAAAAATCTCACATATATTTGAAATAAAACTAATTCAGTAGACTTTAATGCATAAATAATGTGTAACATCAAAATTCGTTTGTATTTGTAGACTTGAAGCACCAGAATGTTGTTTTTATCCCCCCGCCTTTAAAACCAATTGAACATTACAGGAACACTTATTATACAAATCTCAATTTCTGATTTTGACATCACTGTTTAGCAACAAATTTTTGTTCTTACTTTTTATTTATTTTTGTTTTTATTTCTATTCTTTCGCCGTTATTATTGCTGTTTGTTGCACCAAAAACAATGAAATAAGATCTGAATGTAAGTTAGATACTGCTTTGTACAAAAAAGGCTATGCAAATTCTGAAGAGTTTTATTTCTGTTACCTATAATCAATTTCAAACTGTGCATCTGACATACAGTTATAAAAGTATCTCTTGCTAAAGAACACCAATGAAGCATTCTGAAAAACAATTTAGTTTATAGAAATAAGAACTGAAAATAATCTGCAATATTAAGAATCTATCTATCTTATTCTGAATCATAAGACTTTATAGCTTACATAATTAATTGCACTGTGCTCGGATCTTAGAACTGGCATTTTGTGAAAAACGTTAAAAAACGATGCAAAATTTCTCATAGTTTCTTTTTGTCAGATATAAAGTTCTTTTACGTAATCTATTGCTGTAATGTCGTTCTAATTATCTCAGCCTAAACATTCAATAAAATAATACTGACTCTCTTGCCCTAAATTGAAAGATGTACCGTTACAGTAAAAGAAACTTAAGATTGACTATAGTTATCTGTAATTATGTCAACAGTGCAATTTCGCAGCTTATTTTTTAGTCTGGTCAACGTTTTGCAATTTGTAATCCAAATATATGTATATATGGTTGTATAGATGATCATTTGCTTGACAACTATAGTAAAAGTAGTCAAGTTTTTTTTTTTTTTTTTTGACTTATCTTAACGTAACCAAGTTAAACAAATAATTTTTTTTTTAATTACAAATAATTGTTTTCTATTTATGTAAAGTGGTTAAAAAATTAATTCATTAACAATGAGTTAAAAAGATAATCAATTTTTTAAACCAAAAAAAGAAAATTTTGTTAAAAGTATAACTTAGCTTATGCATAAAGTAAAAATAAAAAAGGAGGAAAAAAACTAATGCATAGAATATAACGTTCAGTTATCTTTAATGAAATGTTTTGTGACCGCATATGATTATTAAAACATTTCGTGTATCTTCTCAAAATACCGTCTAACATCGCCAACTTTTCATACATTTTTTACAAATTTTTCAATTTTTTTTTTTTCATCTTTGTCAACGAAAGAATTATCAGAAGTTTTTTGATCAACATTAGTACATCATTGCGGTTGTCGCTGAAGCAGTATCGAGGGACATCTGAATTCAGATTTGCTAGACTTTTTGGTTATATATTATCGCTGATATTAGTTGGCCATCAATACAAAGATCAACATATGCTATGTTCGCTGCAGTGATATTTTAACATCTGCATTTGTCACTTTTTTAGTAAGAATATTTTGTATTATTCCCCATCAAAAAAAAAAAAAGAAGTACTAAAAAGATCGGTAATTGTCTGAATTGTTGGTAAAGTGAATTATTGATGACCTCTATTTACTGGGTTTTATCAATCCCAAATTAGTGATAAATAAAGCCAGCAATATGATAAAGTAAAACCCAAATTTGTTGTAAAACCTTACTTTACAAAGATTCTTTACCGATGTCGTTTGTATAAAAAAATTTTCTTGACAGAAGATTTTCAGCTATTTCATTTACAGTTGTTGACTCTTTTTTGTAGCCAAAAAAAAAAGAAGAAATAAAATTTAGCGAAAAAAAAAAAAAAAAAA